TACCATAGATTAATGTTCAGTTTCTAGGAATTTTTGATACAATGAAAACACCCTATTAGGGTCGTTTAAGGTTAATCTCATCGTATCCGTTAATTTTTAATTGGCATTTCAATTTCAGAGTGGAGTTTTTCATAACTCGGACATTTTTAAGTGCGCGATTGCAATTGAGGCTGTTAATTCAGATAGTTTAATACATACAGGGCGGACCAAGAAATTCAATGAGCGGCACTCTTAAAAACGCTGATCGAATACTGCTCAGTTAGTCCTAGTTTGAAGTCAATCAATTATTTACTTTGATAAAATATTGCATAGAGTTCCCAGAAGTAAGATAAAGTGAAGGATTTGTGTTTTGATAGCTAAGAATTTATCACTAATATTTACACTCAAATTGAAGTAGATGATGAAGCACATGATGTTTTTTATATGAGACAGAAAACGTGTTCATAGTCTGACTTGTTCGACAACTGGAAAGATTGCACAGAAGAAAAGCAAACGTTCAAGCAATGATTTGCCACCTGATATTCAGAATAATGCTTTTAATGTTATTTGGGATCTTGAGCCAGATAAATCACGGATGAAATAAATACCCGAGAAGCTTTGATCGGCACCAAAAATGGTGCAGTAAACGAAAGATATACACACAAAGAACATCGAACGCCAAAGGGATGATAGTATTTTGCTCCTTTTTAAAATCTACTAATAATCCGCTCTAAAATCTTGTTAAGTTGAGTATCTTTCGTCCATTGCACCACTTCTGGTACCGACCACAAACCTGGCATTTCTTTCGTGGTTTTCCAAGAACCGAACAACATTAAAAGCTTCGTTCTCAATTTCACATGACAGATCGTCGCTTGCATTCATTATAAAATGTGTATAACTGTAAAACACAACTTTGGCAATGATTCTGATGACAACGACAAATTTTCATTACCAGAGTTCTGAATTTAATTTTATAACTAACTATTTTTACTCAAATAGTCATTAAAATAATAATCGTTATAGTTGTAGATATTGTACGTAACACGTAGGATATTATATTATTAACGCACTTATGTGATTAAACTAATTAGTGCAAATCTTCAAATGCGTGCGTTAATAACATTAATATCCTACTGGTTACGTAAATAACTATTAATGGCCACTGAACAGTACCTTGGCTCCTAGATGTGCGTGATGCTGATTCAAGCATTTGCGCTAAGTAGTTGAGCGATGCATTAAGAGGATAATTGCATGAGTCGATGGTTTCGTTAGAAGATATCTCTGTGGACTCGCCCAAGCTGATCGCCTGATCCACTATCGGGGCAATTTCAACTGAAATTCGAAGAAAGAATGGGTATAAAAAATATCGTTTTTGCTGGTTTCATTACCCTGGTTTATACGATCACATAACTCGATTTCGGGCATTTGTGTCTTATATTGTACCAGTGCCGTTGGAGAAGAATCATCACCACAAATTCGTGCAGATCTTGGCACAAACTCTTTGTAATCGGATTCCGAAGACACTAGAGATGCAAGCGATAGACTACGAGAAGCAGCGGTATTTTTCATGCTTGATTCCTGATTGGATGACTGAAATGGAAAGTGACTTAACTGAATTAAACTTGTTAATTTCTAATGTAAATATCGACTGGTGAACCAGACGACTTCTTACGGAATTAGTCGCACAACAATTTTGCCCTTCGACTGGAGTCATTAAATATTCTCGAAAGGGGTTATTTAGGTGCCAAGATGCGGCAACAGATGGGTCGGACGTTTGAGTGGCCTGAAATTCCAAATTTGAATAGTTAAAGTAATTAACTTAAGTTAAAAATATCTGGTGTTACCTCGTCTTCATTGCAATCATCAGAAATTTCCTTCCAATTCTCTATCTTTGAGTGCAATATTGAAGAAAACGTTTCAGGACTAAGAGGTGAACTGCTATTAGAACCTGTCTGATGGTTTGATCCTGAGCATTCGCTGTTAAATGCATTTGGATTATCGAAGATATTTAAATCTGAAGAGCCAAGTGATAAAGAATCCTCATAATTTTGTATTCCATTAAAATAGTCCAGAGTTTTGCTAAAATTTCAGATAGTATTTCTAATACAATAGGGCTCTAATTGGGTATTATTTCAAGCTTCTTTTGGTGACTTCTATTGAGCAAATAGTAACAGTTAATTAACAAGAATTTACTGTCTACGCTAGATCGAAAATTACAAATACGTTTATGATTATTGTACCTTTGGTCTATAACTGTTGAATTAAAATTATTTTCTTCATTTTGTGATGAACTGGAATGTTCTGAACAATTTGGGCTGCTTGACTGGCTGCTTACACTAGGTGAACCATTCAAATCCAACCTGGCATCCTGTTTATTCGTAATATTTATCAACTTGATAATTTTCTCCGAAAGTTCTTTATTATCCCGGCATAATTGAAGACACGTAAAATTTCTTCGTTTATTGCGAATAATGGCTAACCTGCATTATTGTTTAATAATTTAAGCTCATTTTCGGTTCAAAATATTCCACTTACCCATCTACGGATTTCTTACAGCTGGCATTTTCTTCATGAAGCATTTCCGGTTGGAAAGTGAATTCAGCTATTTTGCCGCTAAGTTTTCCAAAAATACTTAAATCGATTTTTCTTGATTTGCTTATTAGCTCGACCTTGTTGACGTTTAACGCAACAAATCGCCTATGGTTTCGTTTTAGGCTTTTGTAATAGGAATTTTCAAAGCTTTTTCTTTCATAGTCAAACTCTTTCAAAACCTATTAAACAAGTTTTTCAATTTTTATTGACCATTTTATCTATTTAGTGGATTTATTGTTTTTCTTTGAATTGAATTCGATAAATTTACTCAGTAATAAATACAAATACATACCTGTGGAATAGGTTTAAAATATTGGGGCATACAAAACTGCAATGGCACAAGCATTTCTTGCAAATAGAACATTTCATTGGAGTTAGGAGCTAAGCCATATTCTAATTCACTGTATGTTGGAAAAAGATGTAAATTTTTCACTTTGCTTGTAAAAATCGGTAGCGAAAACGGCTTTAGTTGTTTCTGCAACAATAAATGATCATCAATTGAAAAACAAACGACTAAAAATTAAATTCGACAGAGATTAGCAAAACTTTTCAGTTACGGAAAAAATGCTCGAGCCTTGAACAGTTATGTAAAAAACGACAAATATGTTTTACATAATATTTTTTAATCACATTTATTAGTACATAATAATTTATTTCTATACATGCTTTCAACTACAGTGACTAAATATTCAATAAAAGAACAATTCGAATTTGACAAGCAAGATATTAAGGATCAAGAACTAAAAAATGAGCTAAATAATAAATCAAGTAAAAGCAAAACTGTTCAAAGAGCAGTTTCAATTTAATAAGCAAAGTATAAAGATTTTCAATTATTATTGTATAATGTTATTTTAAAAGACAGTATTTAGTAAATTTTTTATTACTATTTATAGCCAATTGGAATAAATGAATGCGAAACAAACTGTAAGATGCGGCTGCTTAAACGAGATAAAATCTCGTTCGAAATATAAATTTAAAATTATACAGTTTTACTAAGTAAGTGTGCTCGTCGCACATTAGATAATTTCCAGTGTGTTAATAGATGGTTCGCTCTGTCTATTGTATAACAAGTCTGCCCGATTACCTCTTCGCACCATACAGCAATGCCTTCCTTAACTAGCTTCTCGTTCACATAATGCACATTATTAAGCTCGGTCACATCGGCAAGGAAAACACATACAAACTCTTCCTGCCAATCAATGTAGCTAATTTTGATTTTAGTGTCTTTGCGATTAATCATATCCCGAAATGTATTAACTGCAGTTCGACACCAAGTTATTCCTAAAACAATTATCACGTTTAATTAAGCTGTTAAGTTGAAATTGGTAAAACGTCTTGCATTTTCAGGGATAGTTGCTACCCCTGAAAAACTTGCCCGTTTGAAGCATTGGCCGCAAACGCATGACTTTTGAGTTTTCGGGCTTTATCCCGTCATGGAAAAGAAAATTTCCTAACGCTTTGCAAGCAGGAAAAACCAGTTTCAGGCAATAACTGCGAAAGCCAAACTCTCATGATTTTCATACCTTTTGTCACAGGAGCGATGTTTGCTAATCTACATCGAATACCTTGAGCAGGAAGAGCAGCAAATTCAGACCGTAGAAAACAAAGCCCTTTCATAGGAACTTTAGAAATGCTTCCGTAGTCAATAAAGAAAAGCTGAAAACATCGGGATAGAGCATTTTCTAGATGTATTTTTATTCACTTACCCGTACACAATCTTCTTGGGGTAAAACCCTAATAACTTTGGCGCGATGATATTCTCCAATAATAATTTGGACACAATAAAGGCCTTCCTGAAATAAAGAAAAAATGTATTTCTAATACTCCCTCGAAAGGAAAAACTTTGTAATTTACGTACTTTAATAACAGCACGCGGAACAGCATACTCTTGTGCATTAGTTGAGTCATTATAAAAATACTGTAATTGATCCATTAAATCATCTAAAGGAGTCTTATTCACAGAATTGCCTAAAATAATGTAATTATTTTCATTGTCTGTCGCGATAATTATGGCATTTTTATAATAAACACACCTAGATAAAACCAAAATTTGGACGGATCGTATACTTCTACTACCACAGCGTCGAAAACATCGCCAACTCTAGTCGATTTGGGTAAAAACTGATTCGGTATGATTTGGCCATATGGAAATATGTCACTAGGTAATCGGTCTTTAAAATCAGACCAATCTAGATCTGGTAACGGTTCAATATGTGATGGCTAGAACAATAAATAATTAACAATTTCTCTTAAAACAATTGAATATTCTAGGAAAGAAGTAGAGAATTTACCTTCTTTGCTGCTTGTCCGCTGCTAGATATAGTCCAATATTTCTCGGCAGACTCCGGAAACGGTTTACTCTTATCAAATAACTTAAAATCATCAAGTCCTGGTCGAATGTAATGAAATATGTGCTTTAAAGCTATACACATGTCCACAAGATTCACATATCCATAATCTTTATAGAACAGAACTCGTTTAAACAATTTCCTAAAAATTAATAACTAACATTAAAAATACCTAATTTGGCAATAGCCATGTTTACATGTATGCGGTAGGCAAATCACTGGCCCAAATTCCATCTGGATATTGGGCGATTAGTGTCTTTAAGTTATCTTGCACTTTTTGCGGAACATTCGAAATATCTTCCTCAAAGGTTTCCTTAACTGCCTGGAAACTGAAATATGAATATTAATTGAAATCTGCAACTGACGAAGATGTAATCGATCTGAAATACCTCATATGGCTGCTTTGGGCATCATCTCTATTAATACTATTTTGGGGAGAGTGCTGTACTGCATGGCCACTATCTTTTTCCACATTACTCTTTAATTGATCAACTTGTAGATTCGAGTTTCGTGTTAATGTCGTCTGCAATTTTAAATTACTTTATAATATGGTCTCTTCCGAAGAAAGCATGTAAATTCCCCAGAAATCAACTAGTAGATTAAAAACCACCTACCTTAAACTCGATTAATCTACTCGGATTTTCGTTTATATGTGATAGATTTCTTTGACAATTACTCCTCTGGGGAGTTGAACTTGGAGTGGTAGCGCCAGTATTAGCAGTCAAACCATGGGTTCTTATGGTGGTAGTAGCCGTATTGGTTGCACACACTCCAGATGCGTTGTTCACCATATTCTCCTTAACGGTACTTCGAGAATTTGGTGTTGTGTTTATAGGGCTGTTTTGATATGCGAAAGGACTTCTACTGTAACTTTGAATTATAAATTGACTACAGTTTATTGCAAATTAAGATCAGCGGCTGAATAGAAATTCGGTAAATTTCAATCTACATACATTGAATAATTCAAATAATTACTTTGAAACGGGTACAGGTGTGCTAAATCTGCGTCTGGGCATTGCAAACTTGCGATTTTTTGGAGTTACTTTTTGTCTTGTCACCATTTCGTTAATATGGGCGATGTCCTCAGTTACAACTGGGTAGACTTCAGCGTACCACCCACATCCTCTCACCTACAATAGCACCCAAATCGATGTACTAAATCTAATATGCACATTTTACAGATCTCACTCCCTTGCAGTTTTATTACTTGCAATCGTTATCAATAATCAAATTTATAAAAAATAATTATATGTACTTACAATGCATACATCTTTAATACTTTTCAAAAGATGTTCCAAACCATTATAGCCCAATTTTTTGTACGGTATCGGTTCCCCAATCAAGTCTGCGTACTCCTTTTGCAGACTGCTTATTGTAGATACACAAGGGCTTGATGTCAGTAAGGCTTTGATACTGTTTTTCACTTCTAGTTCCTCTTTAGTAGTTGCCATCTGGGAAAAAAATATTTTTTTAGTCTCACAAATCCATCTTGCAAATGAAAACAGTTGAGTTGACCGCTAGACAATTCAAAAGGCATATGATTCATATATAGACTGTTAATAATTTCTAAAATAAATACTGTAAGTACCATTAAATGATACGTTCCCCAAATAGAATGTTTATTTCAAATAGAAGTAATGTTTAATACTTAAAACTAACTAGAGACTAAGATGACCTTGCCTATACGAAGTACAAGGGCAGAATGTTTATTCCAATTCCTATTATCTTGTCTATATGTTGCATCAATAATTAAGCAAAATTATTAATTGATGTTGTTTAATGAGTATTGTAATATAATGGTATTTAAATAGGAATGTCTAATGTGGTCCGGGATGAATCACATCACTGTCCTTGCAGTATCTATGTCTACTTAAAGCGTAAGATGTCGGCACAACAAACCCTTTTGAAATGGATTTTTGGAGCTTTTAAGCCGTCGTGGAGTATATTTTTTCCTGACTTTTCGCAAGCACGAGTGGCTTAGATCGTTGAACCGACGGGATTCAAGATATGCTAATCTCAGGCACCCCAGAACCGGTTTCGAGCCTATTCGCTCCAATCCGCTGAATTTAACCAAAACACAGGATGAGATCTAATTATGCGCTAAACCGGTCCTAGGGCTACCTGATATACAAACTACCTGCCTGCTGATAAACACATATTTTAAAATTGGTTCATTAGAGGTCATTTAACATTTGTGTCTTAAGTTGAGAGGCAAAATACCTACAAAGAGCGGTTGTTGCTTCAAAGAAATGTATCTTACCATGTAATAAAGGGTATCTGACGAAGTCCACTAAAATCCTCCGAAGTACCTTAAACTTTGCAGCGCTTTGGAATATTCATAAACACTGAAGAAAACACGATTTGTCTCAAATTATAGACGCAGTGCCTCAGAACTTACAATCCTGTAATTTTCTATAGTTTGATTATCATTAAAATTACACATTCCTAATAAGCGCTGGAAAGCAGGCTAAAACATTTTACAGTTTCTAATTGTTTAAATATCGAAGTATAAACAAAACAACCCAAAGCGTGGGGAACTTTAATCAAAATGTCTTCAATTTTATGGAATTTCTCAGTTTCGCACCGATTTCACATGCAACATAACCGCACTTTACTCTGTACCTAACCAAACTTTATAAAAATCGTAGCCTTTCTGTATAATATTTTCATTTATTTCGCAATACTGATGAAAACGCTCCAGATTGGATTGGCTCTAATTTTCAAATTAACCGAAAAACACTAATTGATTAATGCATTTAACCAAAATGAATGCACTGGGGAACGTACTTGCGAATATTGTATTTTGACCGAATTCTGACACTGACAACTCAACGTTATGTGGTGGAGTATTTAAGACCTTGTCCTTTCAAATAAAAGTTTTTAGTTGCGTGGAGTTTTTAAGTGGACAGTGCTAAAATGAATTCGCAAAACGAGTATATTTCCAAGGCAGAGGACATCGCTGACCAGGTAGTTATTTTCATCAATATCTAATATCTATTAATTGGCCAATGTTTTGGAAAGTGCCATTCAGAAATTAGTTTCCAGTTCAAAAACCAGTAAAAAAGAGTCACGTCAGCGCAAAAAAGGGATTTATCACATACAGTTCAACAGGTTTACTAGGCCTTGATTCCCACCAGCCTTGACCTGCATTCTTACAACTGCTCCAATTTTTTTAATCAAGTTCTTCGCGTCGAATAAGTACTTTTCCATATGCTTCAATACCACCTCGAAAACGCTAAGTATCGGCTAATATACCCATCTAAATAAACTCTTCTATTGCAGGTTCAAAGAAAACTGAAACACATTCTCCCAACATTAGCACGTCTGTGTTTAATTTCAACATTCTTTGAAGATGGAATCCGAATGTGGGTCCAATGGAATGAGCAAAGAGAATACATGAATATGTCTTGGGGCTGTGGATACTTTTTAGCGACTGTTTTTGTATTAGTTAATTTAGTTTTTCAATTGGGCGGTTGTGCGATGGTTATAGTCAGATTCAGAGTGGAAATTGCTTGTGGAATACTCAGCTTTATCGTTATCCTACAGGTAAAATCAGCACAAGCTAATATTGAAGTTGACCTATAAATGCGAACAATTTTTCAGACCATCGCTTACAGTATTCTCTGGGACGTGCAATTTCTGTTTAGGAATTTTGCTTTAGGCGGAGCATTATTACTTGTTCTAGCCGAGAGCAAGGGAGAAGCGAAAAGTCTATTTGCTGGTGAGTTTTGTTCTTAATACATTCGCACTGCAAATGTATCGAACAATTCTAATTCGTTGTCCACCAGTTTTAATTCAGTAATTAATAGGAGCGCATTAGTATAAGAACATGTGTAAACCTGATGACCTACAAACCCAAACACCAAAGTGTCACGCGAACTGAGGCACATCTTATGTATGTATGTATGTCTCAGGGTTTTAATTTTATTTTAAAAAAGCTTTAAAAACGGTCAATTATGTGATAACTGCTGGGTTCCCCGTGCACATGATCAAAACTTTTATTCAGGAAAAATGTATGTAATAATGGGAACATTATTAACTTTTTACATTAACAAAAGTAAAATTAAGTTTTTTGTTATACGGGGAAAGCGCTCAGATGTATTGTAATGAAACTGGCTGTGGCCATACTTTGCTAAACACTAGATTAGTATTTTCGTGAGATTATTCCATTCAAATCGGTCTAAAACGCTTCTAAAAGACGACCGGCCTAATTCTGTTATTGTCTGAAATTGTTAAATAGCAAGGAAACAGGAACATTTTTTTGGGCAAAAACTGTGGATGCTACAAGACTGCAACTGGGAAAACGTCGCCAAAATGTTTTTTCTTGCATCAACGTTTCAATTAAATTTTAGGACGCTGAAAGCGAACCGAGTGATTTTAGACTGTGGTTTAAAACAATCGCATAAAATTGCAATTTAATCAAGGTAGATAATAGAATTAACGCACGGAAATCAGGAGCCGCAAATCTATTGTTCTATTACATTTACACTAGCGCCCTCAAATTGTTTAGTCTCATTATTCCATTGTAGTTTAAACTCTGATTTCGATGCTATTTTCAGTTCGCAAGTGCTATTTACTGTTTCCCTTATAGGCGTTCCAAGTCTTGGCGATAACAAGCCCAAAAACTATCTGCAACTCACCGGCCGAATCCTTTTGGCATTCATGTTCATCACTTTAATTAGATTTGAGATGAGCTTTTTACAAGTAAGTTTTCCTACATTGGTTCACATCCCCCGTTTATGCACGTGTGGTTTTTAGATTTTGCTTGATCTTTTGGGATCTGCGCTAATGGTTCTAGTCACGGTTGGTTACAAAACGAAACTATCCGCGTTACTTTTAGTTCTTCTATTGACGACGCTGAACTTTTATCACAATGCTTGGTGGAACATTCCCGACTATAAGCCATTGAGAGACTTTTTAAAATACGACTTTTTCCAAGTGAGTGAAAATTTCGTGACAAAATCGTTATTTTTTATGTTTTTTTCTCTGTTTTCAGACCCTGTCTGTAGTAGGCGGATTGCTCATGATTGTGTATTTGGGTCCTGGAGGCGTATCCATGGATGAACACAAGAAAAAATGGTAGTTACGAGAAAATGCGTTAAACTTACCTGATTTAGATATAATGCCATTGAAGGTGAGTTGAGCAGGGAACATGTTAAAGATTTATTTTAATTTATGTTCTACACTACTTTGACTTTTTAATTTAAGACTTTTGACATAGTTTGCATAGAGTCTTTAAGCTACTTAATTAAAAACAAAAACATGGATCAATTATAAGGCGCGATGTAAGGTTTTTATTAAGGAGGTAAAGGCTTCTATGTGCTTAATAGCTGAAAAAGTTACTTCAAATCCTTAACACACATGACATGGTAGTATGTGCGTCCTTTTTTTTGTTTTACTTACAAAGCTGTTTTTATTTTATACTTAATTATGCTTATGGGTGAGATAGTGGCGTCAATCTAAGATGGTACTAAGTTGTGTAACACACCTGCTTTTCAAGTCGCAACATGACTATACGGAACAATTTGAATATTTACTTGCAGATTATGTATACATACATTATATTTAATTATTTATAACTTTCCTTTTGTATATACTTTATTTAAGCTTAACGCTGTTAATACAGTTAGCTGATGAAAATCATTTGACATATAAGCGCTCACAAGTGGTACGGACATCTTCCATAATTTTTTGTTGGTAATTGTTTTTATTGAAGGATGCAAAAGAGATGTATAATTGGGTTACTTTAGATTTAAATAAAATTCAATATTTTTTAGTAAAATCCATGTTTCATTGTCGCCTGAAAACATTTTGCTATAAAATTACCTTGCTATTTTCCTTGCTAGATAAGAACTGAACAACTTTCTTAGCCAAGTGTCTGTACAGTTCTGATTGTCCATTGTTCGCATCTAAAACAACGGGAACTCCTTTATCGCCTCCGTCAGCTATAGTACGATTTAGGGGAAGTTTCTCTAAAATCGGCACTTGTAAATCTTCAGACAACTGCTTAGTTCCATCGCCGAATATCAAAATCTCGTTTGAGCAATTTGGGCATTTTACTGAACTCATATTCTCGACTAATCCGATTATTGGGATTTTCAACATGTTGTACATTACTGCACCGCGTTTAGTAACTTGCAGAGCTGCTGATTGAGGAGTCGTTACTAAAACTACTCCTGAAAAAATGCTTGGTTTTGGAAAAATTGCTTAATACTTATTTTTAACGTAAAGGAAAAGGACAGATTGGTTTAAATTATATTTGCAAAACGTCCTTAACTGTTGCTTGCATCAAAATGTCTCGTTAGAAAGTGTTTAAAATTTAAAAAAAAAGAGCTCACAGGCCCTTAAGTCAGTTAATTATTCAGGGTGATTGTTTCCCAATGAGAAAACCGAATTCTGAAGAAACTACAAGTCAAATGGTTAATACTGGCACAAAAATGTTGATAGTTTCAGAAATACAAGGTGTTGAAAGTTAAAATGTTAATCCAAATAAACCATGTTAGAACAATTATTTGTATTGTTAAATGATCACGTTGTATAATCATAAAAAATTGTTCTATTTCTATATGCATTCGGCCTCAACTAATAAAGTGAAAGCTCAAATAAACATTTAAAAATTGGACAAAAAAAGGTATCTGTGTCATGAACAATTATCAACTAATGAACTAAAAGTAATGCATTTTACACTGCGAAAAAGTTAAACCGGTTGACAAAGAACAATTATATTTGTGTCTTGCAAGAAAATCAGTTTAAAGATAAAACAAAAGAAATAAGGAAGAGCAAAGAAAAGAGTGAATAAAAGCAATCTCCTTTAATTTCCGTTGTTTGTATACTTTCGATGAATCCTTGCTTGACGCCGAAGATTTAATAAAAATATAAAGACGACGGAATCATATCCCGTAAACCGCAGGTAAAACAACCAAAGCCCTACTCCAAACTTTAACTTTTTTCTTTCAAACGTTACTTTATTAAATTGTCTTCTTCAAATGTCTTTAGAGACATCAAATTTGTGTAAAAAAACAAATATAACATCGGATTTCCATTCGACGTTACGCTATCGATAAACCTTAAGAAAATGAACTAACTTAGGAAGATCGCTGAAAATATTGATAAAAAATCACGAAGCAAAGATATTAAAAAAACTTAAATAACGAAGTACCAAATAGTGTATGCAATACAAAAGCGCTTTTAAAATGGCCTACCCGAATGGCAAAACTATTTTTTATTACTTAAATCGCTCGCAATAAATCAGCCATAACTTTTTTCATTCAAACGCTACTTTATTAAATTGTATTCTTAAAATGTCTTTAGGGACATGAAATGTGTGCAAAAAAATCAATATAACATTGGATTTCCATTCGACGTTCCTCTATCGATAAACCTAAAGAAAATGAACTAACTTAGGAAGATCGCTGAAAATATTGATAAAAAAATCACGAAGCAAATATATTAGAAAAACATAAAGAACTAAGTTCAAAATAGTGTATGTAATACAAAAGCGCTTTTAAAATGGCCTACCCGAATGGTAAAACTTTTTTTATTATTAAATCGCCCGCAATAAATCAGTCATAGCTAAGCAGAAGAGAAAGACCACAGCAGAAGTGTTTGAAGAACTAGAAAAATATAAATTGATAATTTGAGATCAGAATAGCGGTTACGAAAAAAGAACAGGCATCTTTCTAACGACGAATTACAAATGCGTAATGAATGTAGCAAGAATGCATCGGATTTTATTGAAATTTGAGCAACTATTTAATTAATTAAAGTGAGTTTTTTACCGTTGATGGGCAAGTTCTGTACCAAACTTAAATGGGTGTCTCCTGTCCCAGGAGGCGTATCGACAACCAGATAATCAATGTCTCCCCAGTTCACTTGTCTCATTAATTTTTCTAGAGCTTGCATGACCATCAAACCTCGCCAGATTATTGGCGAACTTTCTTCGATTAAAAATCCAAAGGACATGCTAAAAATCACCCAGTGAATGACCATTATAAATGATTAAAAACAATTATAAATCAGTAATCATGAAGATCGTCAGGCTTTACAAGAACAACGAGGATTAAGATAAAGCGTTTAAATTCTCGCACAAATGCCTGATGACCTGATGATAAAGACTAAAAGAATAAGTGCCATTTTACGCCATAGTTAACCAACGGTTCCATGAGATTGGTGTCTGTTAAAAACGGTGTATCGTGAAGGTTCATCATGAGCGGAATAGTGGGTCCAAATATATCGGTATCTAGCAGCCCGATTTTTTTATCTGGGGCTTCCAGCTTTAACCCCACAGCTAGATTTGCTAAAACAATCCAATACAGTTTGAATAACCAGAAGTTGAGTTGAATTGCGGCTACATACTAGCAATGGTTGATTTGCCAACGCCTCCTTTTCCCGAAGAAACTAAAACAATGTCTTTAACTCCCACTATGGGCTTCTGCTTGGGGAGCCCCCTTTGCATCAGTCCCTTTTGATGGGATTTTATGGCATCCAAGGAATACGAGGCCAGAGTACTTTGAAAGACTCCATACCTGATATTCCTAAAGATGCTAGTTAAGTAGTTGGCCTGAGGCATGTGAATGAACTTTTTACTTATGGGAAAATGTATCTTAAAAGCACTGTTTTGGATACATCAACCACACTTTTTTCGTAAACAAACCGGCTTTTGCAACGTTGCCGTTAGCCACCAATTATCGGGATATACAGGGTGTTTTCACTTTTTCTTTAATGTTGATATATAGAAAGTAGTTATGGCGAACATTACACTGATATAATTTTTTTTGCAAAAATGTCTCCATAATAATTTTAAAGCGAATTTAAATTCAAATCAGATATTTTCCGCCAAAAACGCCGAATCTGTATCGTCGGTTGCCTATCCCGATTGTGACGTAGCAGGTCATATCAACAAAGTTTCTCGTGTTTATCTTTTTGTATTCGCAGCTTAGTTTTATTATTTAAGTTATTGTGATTATCATTGTTTTATTGATTATTATTATTATCTTGCATAATGGAAAATAGTGACATGTATGGATCACAATCACAGTGGTGTTGTGTGCCATGCAAGAATACCTCGATAAGTGCTCCAAACAAGCTCTTTTAACCGTTCCCCATAATTATGCACGTGAAGTTTTATGGTTCAAAGCAGCTAGACGTGATGTTCCTAAATCAAAATCAGTGTTTTTTTTTTGTTGCGAGGATCATTTTCAGGAACAAAAAGCTAATGATGAGGCAGATAGAATATGCCTTCGATCGTACTTTGTGTTCTGGGCAAATTCTACCTTGTACAGTGCACAAAGAACCCTCGCGTTTCAATTCCACATATCCGATATCATCATATTGTTCTCGTGATGCCCAAAATACAAATTGAAGAGTTTTATTTTTAAAGCAGCCATGTGTATAGGTTAGGTTAAGTTGAATAAGTAAAATTCTATATATTATTTTCCTAATTTAAACCAATACAGACAGATTAGTATATTAAGGAGAGAGTAACTAATAATGAATTTACGAATTTTTACTTACGCTGCTGCTTTGATACCCTTAAATTGGGCTGAATTAAAGCCTTCGTCGTTTTTTTTTT